AAAAAAAAAAAATTCTGTATTTATATAACAATTATTTCAAATAAGAGATCTTTGAAAGTTTTAAGAAAATTTCAAAGTTTTTTAATTTAAAGGATCCATCTTTGGCCATTAATCACAATGGTATATTTGTTCCAGAAGCAACTCAATCCAATGCCTCTTTATAAGGCCTAATGCCTCTTCATAGAAAAGGCCATTTCCAAGATTTCCAGAAATTCACTCTCAGAAATAGACTTATGGTAGAATAGCCAATGACAAAAACTCCTCAGAGCTTGACGCGGTCAATATACACAGTGTGCTGCTTAGAATCTTGCATGTCCCAGACGCACAGTCTTAACAGACCAGCTGTCTGACATGTACCCAACAAAACACACACCCCAGATGGTGGAGACTGAGGAGAGAATTTCTATTTAATCACAAAGTCAAGCTCAGAAACACAGAACAAGACAAGAGAGAAATCTCGTATAGTTTTTGTTTCAGGGATTTGCAACAAAGTTTGTCTTAAAAGACACCAGACTAGCCAGAACTGTATAACTGGCTAGTATACAGGGCTGGTTTGAACAACGGGCTGGTGGGGAGCTAGGCCCGAGTTCTGCCCTACTATAACCCACTTTAGACAAAACAACACAGAAAGACAAGTGACGAAACAAAAGCAAGCAATAACAACAACAGTGATTAGAATCTATTTCTGAGAGGAGATGGAATCAAACCATATCAATATTCATACACCATGAAGTACCTAAAAATATACCAATACCAGAATCTCTTACAAGACTAGTCACCAACAAAAATGTTTCTATCATTAATCTTAAATATGGAAAGGACAAAGAGCTTTTACCATCTGCTCAACTGGAACCCACAGAAAGGAAGAAGGGGAGGCTGACTGGTAAGTAAAATATCTTACCATGGGCCAGCTGGTGTTGGGGGTTTCAAGCTTCCTCCTGAGGCTTCCAGGAGAACAGAGTGGCTTTGACATCCTGCCAACTAATTAAAACTGAAGGGATCAGGACGAAACCTGCCCTTTTCCCGTGGTTCACTGAATGATCAACTCACAATTATGGTAGATTAATAAGGGAAAGGTTTATTTCTAAATATTATGCATATAGGAGGAACCACAAGAATGATTACCCAAAGTCTTAGTGATGGTCAGAGACCTTTATAGATACTTTTTGGAAGCAGGGGGAGAATGTGAAACATATATATGCAGCAAGTGGTTGCTGGGGGGGGGGGGATATGGGTAGATGGGTGGAAACAGATGATTTGTAGATTAACCTGAGAGGCAGGTCTCAGTGCTTCAAATGAGTCTGGGGTCAGGTGTATTAGCATGTAATAAGAAAGTCAGCAGCTCCTATTTGATTCTCAATCAGGTTATTCAGGTTTTATGTAGACAGAGGAAAGGCCTCTTTCAATGCTTCCTGACCATTTGGCCTTTAATTCAAAATACTTGGGTTTTTTTTGTTTTGTTTTAGGGGTCTTTTTGGAGTTTTTGACCAGGGCCAAGTTGAACCTGCCACCTCTGGTATATGAGGCCAGCACCCTACTCCTTTGAGCCACAGTCACTGCCCTCAAAATAGTCTTTATACCAAGGAGTCATATTTGGGGGCAAAATTTTCTTATCTCCTTCATTCCCCAGTGGGATTGTGTGCCCATCATGGCTAGGGTGTTTCATTTTCACAAGTTAAGTTGAAAGTGTGGATTTTTTTTTATATGAAATTGTTCAGTTTTAAATTTTGGCAACTAGTTAAAAATGTATTTAGTATTATATGAGCTGATCCTGTTTGAGTGAATCAAAACACACCTGAAGACCAACTCTGCATCCCCCTTCCCTTGCAGCCACCTACTAGTGACATCTCCTTCCTGCCCTGCTCATCATCTCTGGAGGACAGAAGTTCCAGGAAACGTTGCCAGTGTCATTTAAAGTATAGGAAAAAAATAGCTTTTTCCTCTGCTCTGGTCACCTGCCTTGGGACTAAAACTTGAATTTTGTTTAACAGATTAGATTCAGTATTTGCCAAAATCATGCCATAGTATGGAGCTGGCATAGAAAAATAAGAGTTATTGGAAAGTATTTTATTTTTATCTCAGTGTACCTTAATATCGCCCTCCTATTAACTTAGCAAATCAAATAGTATTATTCTCTGTACTTCCCCCATCCTCCAAAGAGAATTAGCCATTGCTATCATCTTACAAAACTGTTTTTGGAGGAAATTATTTAAGAATTTTTGACCTTATAGGGGTACAGGTGAATCTTTCTAAGAGTAGAATGTGAATGTTTTAAAGCAATAACTGAGAAAATGACATGAAGGCTGTGTTGACCAGTTGATGGAAGTATTTCAGATTGCATGTGAAAACCCCACACTGTACCCTAGAAGTGCATTAATGTACATAGTTACCGTTCAATAAAAAAAAAAAAAAAAGAATTTTTGAAAAGCCTATAAAATACATAGTACCAGTACATGATGTGTGTCCAATATGTTTGGTTTTCGAGATTGCTGTAGTTAATCATTTGTGCACATAAAATTCAGTTAATGATATGGTAAACTCCAAAGATTATTAGGATGGATGAGATGGATGGTTTCAATGTTGCTATATTGGTTTAACCATGTATAGACATCACTGAGGTCTGATCAGATAGAATAAATGAGGAATTAATATGCCTTAACAAATTCAAGGAAAAAAATCAACATAACTCAAAACTTGAAAAAGGGGCGACTGTAAAAACTTGCCTATTTGAATACTTTGCTTATAATGTACTGGTTTCACTAGTTTCAGAAAAGTCTACTCTAAACAAAAGGTATTTATTATCCAACATGGCAAGACCAGAGGTAAAGTATATGGATGGTTCATATTGTTCATTCTGTCCAAAGACAGATAAGTGACCATTTTTGTGTGTTTTTTTAATTAAGAATAATTATATACATTTATGGGAATTTGGGTGCAAATTAGCTGGGTGATGTGGCTTTGGGTCTGTCAAGCAATTAACATCCCCATCACTTCACATAACATTCTTTTGTCGTGAGAACATGTAAGATCTACTCTTGAAGCAATTTTGAAATATGTAATATATTATTACTAACTGCTGCCACCGTGTTGTGCAATAAATCTGGAAAACTTATTTCCTCTAAGTGAAACTTTGTACCCTTTGGCCAGTATGTCCCAGCTGAGAAATTTTAACTCACAAATTTCCTATTCCATTTCAATGAAAGGGAAAGAAACACTAGTATCTTTTAACCATTGAAAAGCAGTCCTTCTAGGTGGCTTACTCTTAAAATCTTAGCACTCTAGGAGGCTGAGACAGGTGGATTGCTTGGAGACCCGCCTGAGCAAGAGCAAAACCCTGTCTCTACTAAAAATAGAAAAACTAGCCAGGTGTAGTGCCACACGCCTGTCGTCCTAGCTACTGGGGAGGCTGAGGCCAAGAGGATTGCTCAAGCCCAGGGATCTGAGGTTGCTGTGAGCTATGACATCACAGCACTCTACCTAGGGTGACAGAGTGAGACTGTCTCAAAAAAAAAAAATCAAAAGCAAAGTATCAGTGTATAGAAAAGAAAGAATCCTTTGCCCCCATGTTTTAGTATTATGCCATTGGTTTGGATAAATATGTTGAGAGAAATATGCATTTTATTGCACACAAAAGGAAATTGGACACAATAAATGTACAATATAAAAATAAGTCAAGAATTGGCCTTTAGCAATTGTTCATAGCTTGGTATATGTTTAAATCTTGGTAGCATTCACTTTCACGCTTGTACATGCATTAACCACATAGAAATCAAATTTATAAACACTTGTATATAATACAGTGTTCTCCATTTAAGACAGTTTTACCTATTTTCCCATGCAGCATAAATAACCATGGCCTGAATTGTGCTATTTTAGTGATCAAGGGAGGACCCCTGGAACACAAGTACCGACTGAAGCAGTTCCATTTTCACTGGGGGGCCATCGATGCCTGGGGCTCCGAGCACACTGTGGATAGCAAATGCTACCCAGCAGAGGTATGTTGAGAAAATCAGGAATAGTGACAGCTGTACAAGAGTGGAGATAATTCTGAGGTTTTCTAGTTATAAGAAATTCCCAGGAAGATGCTGGGCATGGTGGCTTATACCTGTCTGTAATCCAGTACTTTGGAAGGATTGCTTAAGGCCAGGAGTTTAAGACCAGCCTAGGCAACATAGCGAGAACTTGTCTCTACAAACAATTTTTAAAAAAAGAAAAAGGAAAGAAAGAAATCACCAGGAAGAACCAAATGATTCTTATAGATGCTAAATAGCTCTCTCAAAGGCACATTCGATCTTTCTCAGCTTAGATGTGTAAAAATGATAATGTCTCTCATCTCAAGGTTCTTGAGGTTCTGAAACTGATTCTTCCAAATTCTAAGGTAGGCTCAAATGATAGCCTAAAGTGATAACCCAGACAACAGCGAATGGCCACAGGTCAGATTAACTTGAGTGAGAGATGGTGGGAGCCATCACCAGAATGAAGGCTGTGGCAAGAGGAATAGAGAAAAAGAGCAAGATATTAAACATTTCTGAAACCAAAGCAACAAGACTTAGAGGTAGGACCCCCATTCTGGAGAGGAGAAGGCAAAGTTAACCATAACCTTGAAGTGTCTCATTTAGAAAGCTGAGTATTAATGTGTTCATGAATGATAGATAAGAAATGATTTGAGAGATCATAAGGAAACAGAATTTCTGCTTACAATACAGGGTGTCCATAAAGTTTGGGTGCAATTGCACACTCTGTATTTTCTTTAATTTAGTGTTAAATGTTATGTTAAAAATATAGCTGGGCGTTGTGGTGGGTGCCTGTAGTCCCAGCCACTCAGGAGGCTGAGGCAAGAGAATTGCTTAAGCCCAAGGATTTGATGTTACTGTGAGCTGTGATGCCACAGTACTCTACCCAGGGTGACAGTTTGAGACTGTCTCAAAAAAAAAAAAAAAGTTATGTTAAAAATAAAAGCACATTTTAACTGATTTTTCCACAAAGAAGAAATTTACTCTTAACTCTTTTCTAATTTTATAGAGAGAATCTACTTCTCTCAATATAATATCTTCTGTCCTTCAGATGCAAATGGTTTTAGATGTTAGCATTTTATGCAGCCAGAGGATGGGACTGGACAAATATTGATCCCTGATTTAAATGTAACTGACTTTGCTACATGCATTTTCTTTTATTTTCCTCCCCAAGTAAATTCCTCTATTCCAAACTAAATTAATTGCTCTCTTACATAAAGTTCTTCCTATTCTTTTTTTTTTTTTTTCAGAGACAGAGTTTCACCCTGTTGCCCTCAGTAGAGTGTGATGGGGTCACAGCTCACAGCAACCTCCAACTCTTGGGTTTAAGTGATTTTCTTGCCTTGGCCTCCCGAGTAGCTGGGACTATAGGCACCAACCACAACGCCCAGCTATTTTTGTTGCAATTGCCACTGCTATTTCAGCTGGCTGGGGCGGACTTCGAACCTGCCACCCTCGGTGCGCGGGGCTGGCGCCCTACCTACTGAACCAGAGGTGCTGCCCCTTCCTATTCTTTATTTCTATCTCATTTGGCACCAGATTGTCCTATGGTTTTCTCAGTGCCTTATTTTGAGTGAGGAAATATGTTTAAATATCATACAACCAGGTGCGGTGGCTCACACCTGTCATCTTAGTACTCTGGGAGGCTGAGCTCACAAGTTGGAGACCAGCCTGAGCAAGAGCAAGACCCCTGTCCCTACTAAAAATTAAAAAAACAAGCCAGACGCTGTAGGGTAGACCTGAAGTTCCAGCCACTCAGGAGGCTGAGGCAGGAGGAATCCTTGAGCCTAAGAGTATAAGGTTGCTGTGCTATGGCACTCTAGCCTGGAGAACAGAGTGAGATTGTCATGAATGAATGAATGAAGTAAATAAATAAATATCATAGGATGAATAAAGCTGTCATTTTGTTTTGGAGCAATACCACATGGTCCTGTGTTAATTCTCTGTTAATGGTGTTTCAGCTGCACTTGGTACACTGGAATGCGGTCAAATTTGAAAGCTTTGAGGATGCAGCACTGGAAGAAAATGGTCTGGCCGTAATAGGAGTATTTTTAAAGGTAAAAATTCTCATCAACTTTCAATGATCTGTTGTACACATTAAATATTATTATTTACTTTAAGAATATCAGGATTGGCTCGGCGCCTGTGGCTCAAGCAGCTAAGGCGCCAGCCACATACACCTAAGGTGGCGGGTTCGAATCCCCAGCCCGGGCCCGCCAAACAACAATGACGGCAGCAACCAAAAAAAAAGGCCAGGCGCTGTGGCGGGCGCCTGTAGTCCCAGCTACTTGGGAGGCTGAGGCAGGAGGCTCACTTGAGCCCAGGAGTTGGAGGTTGCTGTGAGTTGTGATGCCATGGCACTCTACCCAGGGGGATAGCTTGAGGCTCCGTCTAAAAAAAAAAGAATATCAGGATTGGTGCCACCCGTAGCTCAGTGGGTAGGGCATCGACCACATACACCAAGGCTGGTGGGTTTGAACCCAGTCTGGGCCAGCTAAAATCAACAATGACAACTGCAACAAAAAAAATAGCTGGGCATTGTGGCGGGTGCCTATAGTCCCAGCTACTTTGGAGACTGAAGCAAGAGAATCTCTTAAGCCCAAGAGTTTGAGGTTGCTGTGAGCTGTGCTGCCATAGCACTTTACCGAGGGTAACATAGTGGTGAGACTCTGTTGGGGGGGCGTGTGGGGCATAGGGGGGAGAATATCAGATCAAGGCTGGTAGCAGTGGCTCACACCTGGAATCCTAGCACTCTGGGAGGCCCACCTTAAGCTCAGGAGTTCAAGACCAGCCTGAGCAAGAGTGAGACCTCATCTCTACTAAAATAGAAAATAACTTGCCTAGCATGGTGGTGGATGCTTGTAGTCCCAGCTACTGGGGAGGCTGAGGCAAAAGAATTTCCTGAGCCCAAGGGATTGATGTTGCTGTGAGCTATTATGACATGAGACACTTTACCAGGGCAACAGAATGAGACTCTGTCTCAACAACAACAACAAAGAGAATGTTGGAATCAACAGCATCAATACATTGGTGAGACAAATGATGCTTGAGGTATAAGATTGTTTAGAATTCGTTTTATTTCTTTTAATTTTTTAAATTAAATCATAACTGTTTACAGTAATGCATTTATGGGGTACAGTGTGCTAATTTGATATACAATGTGGAAAGCTTACATCAAACCTGTTAACATAACCATCACCTCACTTATTTGTTGTGGTAAGACATTTATACTCTACTCTTAATAGTTTTAAAATGGTATAAAAATGCACAGTCCAACAGAGTAGTCACAAGGCACCTGTGGCAATCATGCGGTTGAAATGTGGCTACTGAAATTGCAGAACTATTTTTAATTTTATTTAAATTTTAATTAATTTTAATTTCAATTTAAGAACTGATGCTTCACTGGGGCAGGGGACAACTTTCCCTACAGGCATGCTGACCTTGTCAGCAAACAGCCTGCTTATGAGCTCTCTGTCTAGTTTAATTCACTGATGTTTAGAACATTTTAAATCAACACTTCTGTGTAGTTTCAGTCAGTCCTGTGGATTGTTTTTATGCAATCACCAGGTGGTTAATTTTAATTCATATTCTATTACAGTTTCTACAGCGAGATGTCCATTGTTTATAATATTTTCTCATTATTATTCTTTAGCTGGGCAAACATCATAAAGAGCTACAGAAATTGGTGGATACTCTGCCATCAATTAAGCACAAGGTAATACAGTCTTTTCCTAATCACTTGAAATGTATTTTATGCTTCAATCTCAGAGTGGAGACATACCCAGGCACTTGGAACCGGGAAGTGTAATTAGGTGAACTGTATTCAGGTTCTCTTTGAATATTGCTTAGAAGGAGACTTGCCATTTATGCTCGTGTTAAGAAGGCCCCATGCAGCCAGGTGCAGTGGTAATACGTGTATTCCTAGCTACTCTAGAGGCCAAGGCGGGAGGATTGCATGAACCCAAGAGTTGGAGTCTAGCCTTGGCAACATAGTGAGACCCTTGTCTCTTTAAAAAAAAAAATCTGGGTCACATTGCAGGGGACAGAAGTTGGGCTTTCTGGTTTTGCTGCCATGCTAAGGACCTGGGGACTCAGGAACATACTGCTGTCCCCTCCTTTGTTGCCAACACTGGCTCCTTCTCAGTCCTGTGAACACCATATCCTTCAGGTTGAATACCTTTGTTCTGAGTCCAAGAGTAATTCTTCACTGTTCAGAATCCCCAAGGGGCTGCTCCCTGGAGGTCCATGTAGTCTCCCCTGCACCCCCCAACCTCCACTCTCTCCCCCTCCACCCACCTCTTTCCCTCTCCTCACCTCCCCCTCCTCTCTCTTCTTTTAGTCTATGATTCTGGCTCCCCCTGATTTGCATTTCATTTTCAAAGGACAGTTCTGTGTCAGTCTCCCTTGAAAAAGCAAAGCCTCCTTCTTTATATGCCAGCCACTGTCTAATACCTCCCCACAATGCCAGAGACCACCTGCTGTAAATTCAGTAGAATTGGAGGAGAAAATAGTTTGGGCCGTTTCCCCCCTGAGGAGTACCAAAAATACAGTTAATTGCACAAACAGAGCCTAGCATGGTTCTGCCCTAAGTGGTGATGCTGAGGCAGCCACCCACTGTTCCCCCAGAGCACTCCTATCCCCAGACACCCTCCCCCCACCTCCAGAAGCATCACCTCCTCATCTGATTCTTGAAAATAATGACTCGGTGACCTCTTTTCTTGTCCAGGACGCCCTTGTGGAATTTGGGTTATTTGACCCTTCCTGCCTAATGCCTACCTGTCCAGATTATTGGACCTACGCAGGCTCTCTGACTACTCCGCCCCTCTCTGAGTCTGTCACCTGGATCATTAAGAAGCAGCCAGTAGAGGTTGACCATGATCAGGTATGTTCTTCTGCTTTCCACCCGAGGAGATCAGAGTCTGCCTGTTTAAAATAAGGCTGGGCTCAAACCATGGCATGACTCCTAACGTTTTTAATGCTTATACCTTTCTGTTGAAGGGTGCTAATGACTTGTCTCAGTTTGGACATGAATTTGGGGATGCCCCACATTAAATAGAAGAAGAGCTCAAAACATACAAGTGCATAAGCTTTCTACTTCCATACTTGGCAATGACTTATCTTTTATTATACATGCATCATGTAGATTTTCTATAAAAATTAATACCCTTTTAAAGGGAAGAATGAAGGCTGGAAATGTATGTGTTCAGAACCTTTTATTAATCTTAAAGGAAGTTTCAAATAGAATCTCAGTATAAACACAGCAATGTCTGTCCAGAAATTTTAATATAAGTCAGTTGTTTTGAACTTGAGGTTCATTTTCCCCTTACATACTAAGTCTAAGTGGTGATTACTATGTCACGACACAAAATTTTGTTTAATTCATAATATAACTAAACTATAATAATATTTGCTCATATTTGTTTATGGGATTTTTATTGATCACAAAGCATTTTGACAGGAACAAAAGCTTCCACATCCTCTCATAAAGCCAGGATAAACTGATGCCAACACTGAAAAGATTGGAACCCCCACCAAAAGGAAGCGATAGACCGATAGCTACGAAGAATATAAAAGAAGACCAAAAAGCTAAAAGAAATATTAGAAATACAATCCAGTAGTACCTTAGAAGAAATATATACTTTCTCCAGTAAGGCAAAGATGGTTTATTATTAAGAAAGATTTATTTTTTTTTTTTTTGCAGTTTTTGGCCGGGGCTGGGTTTGAACCCACCACCTCTGGCATATGGGGCCAACACCCTACTCCTTTGAGCCACAGGCGCTGCCCAAGACTTTTATTTTTGGAAGACAGAGTCTCACTATGTCATCCTTGGTAGAGTGCCTTGGCATCACAGCTCACAGCAAACTCAAACTCTTGGGCTTAAGTGATTCTCTTGCTGCAGCCTCCCAAGTAGCTGAGACTACAGGCGCCCACCACAATGCCCAGCTATTTTTTTGTTGCAGTGGTTTAACCATTGTTTAGCAGGCTCAGGCTGGGTTCGAACCCACCACCCTCAGTGTATGTGGCCAGTGCTGTAACCACTGTGCTACAGCTGCCGAGCCAGATAGACTTTTTTTTTTTTGAGACAGAGTTTCACTGTGTCATCCTTGGTAGAATGCCATGTTGTTACAGCTCACAGCAACCTCAAACTCTTGGATGTGTTTCTCTTGCCTCAGCCTCCCAAGTAGCTGGGACTACAGGTACCAATGCCCAGCTATTTTTTGGTTGTAGTTGTCATTGTTGTTTAGCAGGCCCGGGCCAGGCTCAAACCCACCAGCCTCAGGGTATGTGGCTGGCACCCTAACCACTGAGCTATGGGTGCCAACCCGTAAGAGAGATATTAGTATAATTTATCATTTCGGCAGACCTATATAGAAACATCATATTATCATTTCCATAGATTTTTGTTTTAATTTCAGGTTAATATGAGGGTACAAACAACTAGGTTACAATATTTGCATTTGGTAGGTAGAGTCCCTCTTATAGTTGTGTCCCACACCCAAAAGGTGTGCCATATACTCCTTACATTGTGCCCATTGAGTGGGAGCACACCAATCCCCTCCCCTTCTCTCCTCTCCCACCTCCCTTGTTCCCCCTCTCTGCAACTTAAATTGAATCGAGTTTTTCTCTTACGTGGGCATACACTAGATCGTCTACTGGCTTCATATCAGTATTGAGTACATTGGATATTTGCCTTTCCATTCTTGTGATACTTTACTAAGAGAAATGTGTTTCAACTCCATGAGGTAAATACAAAAGATGTGAAGTCTTCATCCTTTTAATGGCTGAATAGGGTGGGGGGTATTTAGGCTGTTTCCACGTTTTGGCAATTGTAAATTAAGCTGCAATAAACAATCTAGTGCAGATGTCTTTATGATAGATAATGCTGTAGATACAGCAAAAGATTTATTATAAAGTATTGGCTCACGCAATTATGGAGGCTGAGGAGTCTTCACAATCTGCCATCTTCAGTCTGGAGGCCCAGAAAGGCAACTGTTATAGTTCTGAGAGCCAGAAAGTCAGTGATGCAGGTTTCCAGTCCTATCTGAAGGCCTGAGAACCAGGAGCTCTCTAGGCAGGGGAAGACTGATGCCGTCACACAAGCAGTCAGGCCAAGTGCAGATTCATCCTTCCTTTGCCTTGTTGTTCTATTCAGGCCTTCAGTGGATTGGATGAAGCTCACTTACCTTGAGGATGGCTCTTTGCTTTACAGTCACCAATTCAACTGCTAATGTCTTCCAGAAACACCCTTACAGATATACCCAGAAATAGTGTTTAACCAGATATGTGGGTATCCCATGGCCCAATCAAGTTGACACATAAAATTAACTATCACAGGGCTGAGCACGGTGGCTCATGCCTGTAATCTTTGCACTCTGGGAGACCAAGGCGGGAGGATTGATTGAGCTCAGGAGTTTGAGACCAGACTGAGCAAGAGTGAGACCCTGTCTCTACTAAAAACAAAAAAATTAATTGTGTGTTGTGGCAGGTTTCTATAGTCTCAGCTACTCGGGAGGCTAAAGTAGGAGGATCGTTTGAACCCTGGAGTTTGAGGTTGCTGTGAATTAGACTGATGTTATAGCACCCAGTTCTCAACCTGTGGGTCGCAATCCCTTTTTAACAATGAAAATACACTGCGGCATTAGGAAGGTTGAGAACCACTGCCATATCACTGCAGCCTGAGCAAAAGATTGAGACTCTGTCTCAAAAAACCCCCATCACAATAAGAAAACAGTAAGTTCAGAAATATGTTCAAATACATATGAGAATTTATTTTATGATATAGGTAGTATCTTAGCTCAGTGGGGGGGAGATAGAATATTTAGTCCATGGTTTTGGGGAACAACTGAGCAGACATTTGGGGGAAGAATTAGATCCACCATTCAATTTTTTTTTTTTTTTTTTTGTAGAGACAGAGTCTCACTTTATCGCCCTCAGTAGAGTGCTATGGTGTCACACAGCTCACAGCAACCTCCAACTCCTGGGTTTAGGCTATTCTCTTGCCTCAGCCTCCTGAGTAGCTGGGACTACAGGCGCCCACCATAACACCCGGCTATTTTTTTGTTGTAGTTCAACCGGGGCCAGGTTTGAACCTGCCACCCTTGGTATATGGGGCTAGCACCCTACTCACTGAGCCACAGGCCCCACCCCTAGATCCACCATTCAAATATTACAGAAGAGATATTCCAGATATATTAAATGTAAAAACTTCCACCATAAAAGTAGTAAAGTATGCATAGGAAAATCCTTTTATACTTCCAAATGAGGAAGATTTTCTAACTGTATAAGTCAAAACCAGAGGTCTTAAAGAAAGGAACTAGTAAATTATATTACATGATTTTTTTAAAAAAAAATCTGTGTGATGAAAACCACTGTTAACAATGACAAAATATAGAGCTTGACTTCCCATAAGCCTGTACTTTGTGACCTATACATTTCGTCTGCTACTATCCTTCATATTAGGAAATTGACCTAACACTGAAACATAAATAAGCAAAGTAAGTAGATCAGAGAGTCAGAGGACCATGTGAGGACTTGGCAAATAAAATTTCAACACAAAAAATTTAGTAAGAAAAAAATTCAACCTGTCATCTGTAATCCTGGTCACCTATAATCTTCCCACTCCAGGTTAATCATTGTTTGAGTAATTCCTTCTGGTCGTTTATCTAGTGTATATAAATATACATAATTTTTGTCACAAGCTGGAATCATTCTGTGTATTTTGCTGCTCTTTTTACTCAGTGATGCATGAAATATTCTATAGATAATAAATATTATCTTTGGTATTAGTTTTCAGGACAATATAGTAGTTCATTTCGTAGCTCTAATGTCGTTTATTATTGGTTCTTGGGCTACTTCTAATATTTTGCAATTAGCTGAATAGAAATAAATATTAACTACTTGTGCAGCTTTCTTATTAGGGAGGGCATATGTGTCCTTTGCAAGCACAGCCCCCGTGTTTGGTGCTTGCCTCCCACCCTAGTTCTGCCTTTTCAGCCCTACTTGCCTGATGTCTTTGTTCCAGATGACACTTCCCATGCTTGCCTGCTGTGCTCCAGGCCATGTTCTTCAGAACTCCAGTGAGCTGGATTGACTCAGGGGAAATGTTGTGAATGGTTTTCAGGTTGGCTTGAAGTGAAGTGTCACATAAAATGGTTGCTCAGAAAGCCCAGGGGGCTATGACTGATGCTCTTGCCATATCAAAGAACAAGCCCTTGTTACACTGGGCTGCTCCCTTTGCATTGGGCTGCAGTGTCCAGTACATAAGCCACTAGCCACATGTGGCAGTTTAAATTAAACACAAGTAAATTCAAGTTGTATCAAATAAAAAAATCAGTTCCTCCGTTTTGTTGCCACTCTTCAAGTGCCCAGTAGCAGTTATGTGGCTGGTGGCTACTGTAATGGACTATGCAAAGAACATTTCCACCAGTGCAGAAAGTTCTTTGGGTAATGCCAGCATGGAATGTCCCAGTTAAGACATCTACGTGCACTGCTTTGCCCATAATGGCCAGGAGCAGTGAATGATCAATAATGTACTTTCTAGGTTAATAATTTAGTTAACTTACGAAAAACCACATTCTTTGTGCTGTTACTTTACGCATCAGGGAAGGTTTTACTAATGGCTTATTTAAAGATGAGGTTCCTGAGAATTGAAGTGATAAAATAACTTGTCCTTGCAAAATGGCCAATATGTGAGGGACAGGACGTTTGCACCCCAGTCTTTGGATGCCAAGTGCTCTGCTGGTTCCACCACCTGCTGTAGCCCCGAGGCACTTGATTCTCTATCAGGTGATGAGGGTATTCTTACCCGGAAACAACTTCTCCTTCTGTATTTAACTTGAGATGAATGTTTCAGAATTATAAAAATGAAAGCAATTTACACTCAAGGGAAAACTGTTTTTTTTTTTTTTT